TCATACGCTATCTGCCGACAAGTTAAGAGTTTATCACTTACCTTCTAAAATGCAACTTAGTGTAAAATTTTACGAGTTTAGAGAATTCGTACAAAGCCTAATAAAGTTAAAGCATGACTGCCGAATTTTATAAAAAAAAAAAAAAAAAAAAAAAAAAAAAAATCAATTAAATTAAATATAATAAAATTTATTATTTCATAATATTTAATTTGTTTTGCTAATTCTGATATTTAAAATATTTCAATATATTTTGAAATTATCATAATATTATGTAATAATCTTTAGTATAATTGAAATGATTCAATTTAGTCAAATTAAACTATTTTATTTAATCTTTTTTTTATAACTTAATATACGTTGATTATTTCTGCTAACTTTCAAAATTATTCGAATTATTTCGAAATAACTTTTGAAATATTTTAATATATCTTTTGTAATATTTCAAAATAAATTCCATATTATTTCGTAATTGAAAATTCTGAAATATTCCACATCGTTTATAATTATTGCAAAATATTTTAGGCTTAATAACTTTCGTAAATTTTTATTTATATATTTTGCTAATGTATGCTATTTTATATAAAATTTTTATTTTATTAAGTAAAATTTTTAATTTTTTAAAAATAAATTTTTTTGCCTACAAATTGAGCAATTTGATTGGTCAAAATTAGGGTGCAACAAATTTATATTCCCTTATATTAATAGTATTACTTCTTTTATTAATAATATTTTAATAATTTGAAGGTGGTGTTATATTTAAACCACACCATATAAGTATACATTATTGGGCAAAAATTTGTGAATAACGGTAATTTGGCTAAACCAGGCAAATGATTGGCTGACATGTGCCGCAAAGCAGCACGTGTCAGACAATCATTTGTCCAGTTTAGCCAAATTACCATATTCACAAATTTGCCCAATAATGGCGTTATCCGATAATTTATGATTATGGCACTCAATTCTTCCCCCCTCTCCTATAAATATAATTTTAGATCTAAAAAAAAAAGATTGTAGATCAGTATTTAAATCTCTTTTTTAAAAGCGAAAAAAAAAAATTTTTTTCTATTTAAAAAAATACCTTGATGCTTATTTTAAATTCTGGTTAGTTCTGTAGTTGAAAGCTGTAAGTTGACGTAGTAAAAGTCTTAGTGGTGGGAAGTCTTGGTGTTGAATTATTAATGCTGGAATCTTGGTTGTGTTGAAGTTGATACTTATGATTACAGCAATAATAAGTTCTTTTAATAAATTTAATTTTATAATTTACTTGTGAAGCGAAAAATTACAGTAAAGTCAATACAGTAGTGCCATAACAATAACGTTGTAACAATATAACAGTAAATTCATTACTGTAAATCCATAACAGCAAAGCCCAGTAAGCTGTAACAGTAAAGCCTAATTAAGCATAAAAGTATGTCCAAAAAGAAAGTAGCAGCAGAGAAAGTTGGCACTGCTAAGGTAATAATAATAGTTCTAGGAATTTTTTAGTTTTTGCTTTCACTATATTAACATATTGTTCTATTAGCGAGTTAAATACACAGAGCCAACTGTGAATAAACTCAAAGAAATTCGAGAAAATGCAAAGGTTAAAATGACTCACAAGGCAACATAAATATGGATCAAAGCCCTGGAAGAGTTTCAATCTGACATCGGGTTTGAAGGAAAGATCGAAGAAGTAAACTCGAAAACAGTCTTGGAAGATTAGTTGTCAAAGTTTGTTTGCGCAATGAAGAAACAGGATGGTGAAGAATATCGTACAAGCTCTATAAGGAGTTGTATGGCAGCCATTTGGAGGCACCTCAATATGTATTCAGTGATGGAAAAACCCATGAATATACTTAATCCAAAGGTGTACTTCGATCTGAACCAGGTGGTTAAAGGTAAAGTGAAGGAACTTTCTGCAAAAGGCTTGGAGGAACGTGTCGGTACTGATGGGCTGACGTTAAATGAGGTTGAGCTAATCTTGAATCACCCCATGATGCAACGTAATACACCGGAAGGCTTATTACAAAGGATTTTTTTTTATAATGCTACATTGTTAGCACTATGTGGTGGTGAACATTATTCTTTGGAGATTAACAATTTTTTTAAAAGAGTAGATGAAGGAATTGATGTCAAGTTGTTTTGGTTCAAAACGAATCAACGAGGGTTTGATAATTATGATACTCAGGCTGAAGTTATCAGCTTACCAAATAACAAAAGCATCATTGAAGATTATGAATTGTATTTTACTAAACGCCCAATATTAGCTATAACAAATTTCTATCTAAAATCAATGTCTTTAAAATTGGTAATATTTTTATGTTTGTTAACTGATTTTTCGGATTTGAAGTTTTATTTACTAACTTCTTTTCAATTTATTAATAGAGTTTTGTAGGCAATGGTACTACGCATGTACTCTAGGTGAGCGAAAATTAAGAGAATATTTTTGGGAAATATGTAAAATAATAGGTATTCAAATAGGAACATATAATATATCAAATCACTCTGGAAGAAAAACCGTGGTATAACTTTTAAAGGAGCTTGATACTCTGATTCCGTTGTGATATCGATTATGAGACATAAGTTTCAAAAAGGTCTTGCGGCATATGAACGTCCAAAATCTGTAATGCAATATGAAGATCTAAGTAGATTTTTCAATGCACTCAAACAGATTTCAAAAGGTAAAATTTTTATTTAGGCAATTGTAATTTTGAACGTTTTTTTAATTTTTTTTTTTTTTTTACACAAAGCTTCTGGTAATGACAATGACAATAAAGCCCCTGGTAACAATGATGACAACAAAGCCTCCAATGATTATAATAAGATTAAAGGTCATCAAAAAGTGGCACCAGTGGCTAATGACTTTGCACTTGCAAGTTCATTTGTTCAAAAGACCAATTTGCAAGTATCGTTTGTTCAACAGACCAATTCGCAAGTATCATTGGCAAATGCTCTTGATAGTCTTGAATTTTCCGCCAATAAACCAAATAATGTATTGGTTGAGCATGATTCGAATGTCCTTAAAAAGGATGATCGAAAAAAAGATATTGAAGATTTTAAAAATAAAGAATTTCTTGAACGATTTCTTACGGAAAATACTTTTCACAATTGTACTTTCAATTTTTAAAGTTTAAAAATGTAAAAATTTGATTTGAATGTGTTTAGTTGCTTTTATTACTTGCATTGTTACCCAAATTAATACAATTTTAAATGCCTGCAACCTGATTATTGTGATATTTTTACAAAAATTTAATATTCGGCAATACGTCATCAAACGTTTAAAAATAACAGTCAGTTGCTGCGCCATGATCATATGAGTTTGTCGGATAAAGTGAGTTATGTTTCACAAATAAAATATTTTACCCAATTAATATTTCTAACATTAATAAAAACTAAGCAAATTATTTTTAAATAAATTTTTTTCAATTTTAAGTTAAAATATCTTAGCAACTACTAAACTTGTTAAAAAATTTTTTATTTTTAACTCTATATGGGCTAGGTGCTGAGAAAAGGAACCAAATTAGGATTTACCAAATCACGAGATAAACCGTGATTTGTGTTTTGAACACAACAATGATCGACATGCATCCG